CTGTCATCTCACCCCAGACTGACAGATGAGCTATAAGCGCTCAAAGTAATCACCACTTAAAACCCTTCAAATACTGCAGCAGAGTGATCTTGCTCAGCCTTGGTATTTCTTCCTCTGCCTCCATGGTTTAAAAAAAGGGGATCCCCAGAAATCGTTCAATATTTGGGAGTCCCCTCTCTCAGTTTGGGCCACAGTTTGTGGTCCCAGACTGACAGACGGGCTATGAACAGCGCTCAAAGGGATCACTGCTCAAATCCCTTTAAATACTGCGGTACTGCGATTTAAAAATGATTTTCACCCAGCCTGATAAAGTGTCCCCAAGTTTCAAGCAGATCCTCAGTGCCAGGGCAGTCTTTACGCATAATGCCAGGGCCAGGGCAGTCTTTCCTATGGACTGGCTTAATGCACGTGCAGCTCCTGCCGCGCGTGCGCATTCAGCTGAAGAGGAGGAGAGGAGGTGGAGAGAAGGAGGAGAGCTCCCTGCCAGGCGCTGGAGAAAGAGGTAAGTTTAACCCCTTCCTCCCCCCAGAGCCCGGCGGGAGTGGGACCCTGAGGGTGGGGGCACCCTCAGGGCACTATAGTGCCAGGAAAACGAGTATGTTTTCCTGGCACTATAGTGGTCCTTTAACTAGCAATCCATTTCTGTGGACTAATTTCAGTTTTGTTTGCCAAGTGTCAGCTGACTAATAGTAGCAATAAGTAACAGAAAAAACAGTCATATTTACAAATGGGTTACACATTCATTCATTTTAAATTTTGAGTTATTACCTTTAATCCTACCTATAATGCTTAGTGTAGTTTTATTATTTTTATGTCATAACCAGGTTATGCAGTCACTTTTCTCTTTTAAATGAATATATTTAAAGGACTAATTTGGGGATAGTATGTAGTGTTGCTAGATCCATGTTTTCATAGACACATATCAGTTTCTCATGTTGATGGAGAGTACATGAAAAGTACTGCTCATGTTTTATGTAGAATTCATACATTGAATAATTGCAATTTTGTTTTAAATATGTTTATTGGATTCACAACATAAATTCCAATGCAAACGTATTTGTTTTTAAGCGGGTTGGTGCCTGTGCAGAGGCATAGTTGACATTACATTTGTACTTATGCAGGCTGTTGCCTGTGCAGAGGCAAGTTTATTAGGTCATTGGTTTTACAACAGGTAGATATAGTTTTAGCTGTGTGTTGTTTGCGTTGAATATATTTTTATTGGAGTCACATTTTGTGTTAGGTGTCTAACATGCCTTTGCCTGAGTGGGTAGTTGCCTACGCAGAGGCTTGGGTTTATTTATTTGGGTGTTTACGCTTTAAGTTGCCTACGCATAGGTATAGCATTTCGGTGTCCCAGTCATTACAGCGAAACTCATCTCTGTGTGTTTATGTTTCCATTTTCATATAGTTCTTCCCTTTTACTTTTATGGTGTCGTGTTCTCGCGGTGTCGTGTATGTAGGTATCTGTTCCACTGTCTTTGGGTATCTGAGTCACGCTCTGCGGGTTCTGATTGGTGGTGTACGTGTGTGTGGTGTATTTTATTGTTGTGGTTTATCAGCTTTGGTGGTTCCTCTGCGTTGAGTTGCTTCTGCTGTGTGGTCTGGGTGCATTTTTTTTTGTAAGTTTATTGTGCCTATCCGTGTGTGTATCCTCGGTGTAGGATGGTGCGCTTTGTTTGTGTGTGTGGTGATTGTCCGGGGTGTCTTGTGTAGTGGTATGTTTTTTTTGTTTTGTTTTATCCTGGTCTGTCTTGTCCTGGGTTGGTGAAACTGTGTTGTGTGCGTACTCGTCTGTTTGTCCGTGGCCTGGTTGTGGCCTGGTTTGATTTTAAGTAGTGCTGTTTATGGATGTGTCGTTATTGTTGTGTTTCCAGGCATCGATGTTGTGAGAGGCTCATGCGCCTAGTGGACGTGTTTGCAGTGCATGCTTGATGTGGGTCCTGGCGTGCTTAGGGCTCTACAATTCGTGGTATTTTTCCACCATGTGGGGCAAAACAGGGACTCAGTATTAGGGTCTCTTGAACAATTACATGAAAAAGACCAACATAGTTCAGCGCCTGTCACATTAATTGTCTTCAGGGCTAGAGGAGGCTTGCCTACGAGTGGGTTGAAGGCATAAGAATATAGTTGTAGAGATTTATGGGGTCTATGGGTATGTAGGTACTTCCTTAACAGTGAGATGGGGGTAGGGACAGCTATAAGACAAGATTCTATGGCGTTTTCAGTACTGAGGAGAGGGTTGAGGCAAAAGGAGGTTAAATTAAAATCCTTTGCTATCTGCAACCATATATTTTCCTGCCATGCATTATTATTTTCTGGTCTCAAGTCAGAGTAGCATATCCGAACACAGTATAAAATGGTAAAGGATAAGAACAGCTTCATGTTGGTGGATCAGTAGGAGTGACTTGTTTACAGTGACTGGCGTGTATCCACGTGGCTTTTCCTTCTAGTTTCACTGAGGTAGCCGTAGTCAAGAGCACTTGGAATGGACCGTCAAAGCGTGGTTCAAGTCCTTTCCTCACATGCCTCTTTATCACCACCCAATCACCAGGTTGCAGTTTGTGAGTTGCAGAATCAGAGTCTGGATCTGGAATAGAATCAAAGACTTGTTTATGCACCCTGCCTAATCTTTGGTGTAGGGCCTGAACATAGGCAGTCATACTACCATGCTGCATCTGGAGGGTTTGGGGAAAATAGAGGCCTGTCTTTGGGGCACATCCAAACAGGATCTCAAAAGGGGATAAGCCATGTCTGGAATTGGGGGTGAATCTCATAGAAAAGAGTGCTAGGGGAAGGCATTCAGTCCAGGGCTTCCCTGTGTCTTGCATGGCTTTTGCAATCTTGTTCTTTAAGGTGCCATTTGCCCTTTCTACTTTCCCACTACTCTGGGGGTGATATGGGGTGTGGAAGGCCTGACTGATCCCTAAGGCTTTCATAATTTCTTGCATTATTTCCCCAGTGAAATGGCTACCTCTGTCACTTTCAATCACTTCAGGTACTCCATATCTACATACCAGTTCCTTCAGAAGCTTACTTGCTGTGACCTTCGTTGTGGCTTTCGACACTGGGTAAGCCTCAGGCCAACCTGAAAAGAGATCAATGCACACCAACACATATTCATACACTCCTACCTTAGGTAGTTGAATATAGTCTATCTGCAGTCTTTGAAATGGGTAAAGTGGCCTTGGTGTGTGCTTACTTGGTGTTCACAGCTTGTCCTGGATTGTTTCTAGCACAAATCATGCAAGCTTGGGTGTGTTTAGCTGCTACAACAGTAAATCCGGGTGCTACCCAATGGGTGTTTACTATGCTGTTCATGTGCATCTTGGATAGATGTGTAGGTCCATGGGCAATCTGGGCCATCATGGGGTACAACACTAGTGGTAAACACAGTCTTTTACCTTTTCTCCACATTCTGTCATCATCAGGTTCTTCATCTTGTTTCCTCCAGAGGTCATGTTCTTCCTTGCTTGCCTGTCTTTGTAAGCTCAACAGTATATTGTAGTCAACTGCGTCATCTGTAAGAACAACTTGTAAGAAGGTATTACCTGTAGAGGGATGAACTTGGATTGCTGCTTGCTTGGCAGCTTCGTCTGCTTTGTGGTTTCCTCTTGAGATTTCATCTGTGATCTTCACGTGAGCTGCCACCTTGATGATGCCTACTTGAGTGGGTAGCAGGATAGCGTCCATAAGTGCACTCACGGCTTCAGAATTCTTGATTGGAGTTCCTGCTGAGGTGAGAAAATCACGAGCCCGCCATATAGGGCCAAAATCATGGGCTATACCAAAAGCATAGCGAGAGTGTGTATAAATATTAGCAGTCTTACCAGAAGCCATTTTACACGCTTCAGCAAGTGCCTTCAGCTCTGCCTCCTGTGCAGAGCAGTGAGGAGCGAGTGGTTCAGCTTTTATTACCTCACGTGCAGAGACTACAGCATATCCAGTGTGGAAATTACCCCTCTCATCAGCATATCTGGAACCATCTACAAAAAACTCAAAATCTGCACTAGATAATGGAGAATCAAATACATGCAAAAAACCTGCTGTCTCTTGTGCCATTAGTGCTGCACAATCATGCGGTACCTGGGCATCAGCTAACTCATCTGGTGAAAGTGAATTTACAAAAAGATCAGAAGTACAAGTACCATTCCCACTATCCCCACTCCCCTCTTTCAAATCCAGGGGAAGCAATGTAGATGGATTTAACACCATACATCTTTTAAGAGTAACATTAGGTGGCATAAGCAAGGCACATTGCATTCTGAGATGCCTTGCAGTATGTATGTGTTTTGGTTGAACTTGTGAGAGTATGCTGTTGATATCATGCGGTGTGTATATGGTCACCGGATTATCTAAAACAATATCAGTGGCTTTGTCCAGGAGGGCAGTAACAGCCGCCAGTATGTGCGTCCTGTGGCAATACTGTCCAAGTGTACTGCTTGTGTTTATGTGTAAATGCAAATAAAAACTGACTGTCGGGAGCCAGGGGGACACTGAAAAATGCATTTGCCAAGTCAATAACAGTAAATACCTTAGAGGAAGGTGGTATTTGTGCCAACAAGGTGTGTGGGTTGGGAACATTAGGGGCAATGAGTTCAGTTACAGCATTAATTGCCCTCAAATCATGTACCATACGGTAGACCACAGGTTTCCCTTTCTCTTGCTTTTTCTTAATTGGGTACAATGGTGTGTTACAAGGGGAGGTGGTCTGGACTACTACCCCTGCCTGCAGAAACTCTTGCACAGATTGCGAAATAGCATCTTCCTGATCTGGGCTTAGGGGGTATTGTTTTTGATAGGGAGGTTTGGCTCCGGGCAGGAGATTCACTTTGACTGGGGGCACAGAGAGTCTGCCTGTATCTGTCTTCCCTGTAGCCCATAAGGAATCAGGGACTGAGGACAAGTCAATGGTAGGTTCTGGCACATGGCTGGGCATAGTGAGAGTTGCCAGAACATTTGAAAGAGATATCATTTGTTTGTCCTCTAAAGGCACAGACAATGTTACTTTTCCAGTGGGGCTATACTGGATATTTGCACTAAGAGCAGACAGTATATCACTGCCTAGTAGATTAGCAGGGGCATGAGGGCTGACAGCTAGCCTTGTTACAAGGGCAGTAGAGTCGTGTAGCTTCAATTTCAACTTGTGGGTAAGCGGAATGTCATTTTCGATACCATCTTCCCCTACACATGATAATACATCATTAGACTTCTCATACGGGAATACATATTTTTCCTGTACATTGATTTAGCAGCGCCAGTGTCCAACAGGAAAGGGACTATTCGGTCCCCAGGCAGTGTAACACTGATAATGGGTGAGGGTCCTGCAGAGTCAGGGATATTGATGATATGTAGGGACACTGGTTTGCCAATTTCCTATTGGGGGGGGAGGTGGTGGTGGTGGTTGGCTGTCATGGGAGTTATCATTAGAATCTTGGGGTTTTCTATTTTTAGGAGGACACTTGCAATTACGTTTAATGTGTCCTTTCCTGACACAATTCCAGCAGTCTACCTGCCTTCTTTCCCCACCAGCTCTAGGGACAGTTACAGCCATTAGAGGTGTGCTCCTCTTTCTTTTTTTTTTTTAAATTCTTTATTTTTGCAACGGCATTGAGTAGACAATGTGAAGGATTTGGCTCGTGCAAGAGCTCAATGGCGTTCCAAGAAGTGAGTTTAGTATATACACATGCCAAAGTACATATGAAGAGTGTCTCAGGTAATTACATCATTACTACTTTCATCCGTTGTTGTTGTTGTTTCAACAAGAGTAAACAATATGAAAAGTAAACAAAGAAAAGAAAATACAAATGTACAGAATAACTAAACTGCGGGCCGGGATACCGGTCGTCTCGGCCCAACAGTGGTGGTCAGGGTGGGGGGTGTATGGGTAAGGTGGGGTGGAAGGGGGGGGGGGTCTTACTTCAGTCTATCGTTTGTGTTTGCGTCTCCTTTCTGCTATGTGGTCTCTATTGGTCACTATAGGTCTCCCACGGTTCCCACGTCTTAGTGAAAGCTTTGTTTGTGCCCCTAACTTGGGCCGTGAGTTTGTCCATAAGGTGGCATTCTTTAATTTTATTGATCACTATTGCTACTGGGGGGATATCCTGTTGTAGCCAGGTTTGGGCAACTGCTCTTCTGGCCGCTAATGTTATTTTATTAAATAGGTGTTGGTTTGGTTTGGTCCAATTCTCCTGGGGTCTGGCCAACAGGAACGCCCATGGGTTAAGTGTCACTGGCCTATCAAATATTTGGGTTATGAGGGTTTGGATGGCCTTCCAGTAGATTTTAATCTTAGGGCAGTGCCACCACATATGGGTATACGTCCCTCTCTCTCCGCAGTTGCGCCAACAGAGGTCTGTGGGTGTCTTTTTCATATGGTATAGTTGAACAGGGGTGGTATACCACCTGAACATCGTTTTGTAGGCCTGCTCTTGCATCGTGACGCAAAAGTTTTAGCGTTTGCCTGCCATATATCCTGCCAGTCTATGCTCTCTAAGGTTTCTCCAAGGTCAGTTTCCCACTTGTCAGTGTAGTGGAGGGTGCCCCAGTCCCGTGTGGTGGAGCAGAGGTGGGAGTACAGGAGGGAGATTAGTCCCTTTTGGTAGCGTTCGGCCAGGCATATTTTTTTAAAGAATGTCGGTTTAGCTGTGGCAGCTCTTTTAACGGATTCTTGGGTAGCATAGTGTCTTAGCTGTAGGTACCTAAAGAAATCTGCAGGGGTCAGGGTTGTTCTGGTTTGTAATTCCGCGAAAGGGATTATTTCGTGTCCTGTGTAGAGTTGATGAACTCTTTGTAGGTCCGCTCTTTCTAAGCCCCTGAAGTCTCTAGGTCTCATGCCTGGAGTGAATGCCCTATTTCGGTATATGGGGGTGAGGGGTGAGGACGGTGTTGTTAGTTCATATTTTATGGCATATTTGTCCCAAATGTGGATCGAGTTCGTGATAGCTGGGCAGGCGGTCCTTAAGAGTGCTCTGTGCTCTTTCGGGGTCCATATGTAGAACTGCGGAAGGTCTGATTTCATAATCAGAGATTCCAGGTCCACCCATCTCCTGGTTTCCGGAGGGGTATGCCACATTTCTATTTGTGTCAAGTGGGCTGCAATGTAGTAGAAATGTATGTGTGGTAGGCCCAATCCCACTCTGGGTTTGGGGCGATATAGAATGTTACGGGCTACTCTATGTCTTTTGTTGTGCCAGATAAAGCGGTCAATGGCCTGCTGTAAAGGCTTTAGGTCATGTTTCGTTATGGGGACGGGCAAGACCTGGAAAAGGAAAAGGATACGGGGTAGGATGTTCATCTTTACTGAGTGTATCCTCCCGATCCATGATATGGGTTTATCCACCCAGGTCTCCATGTCCGTTATGAGTTTAGTGATTATTGGGGAGTAGTTAAGTTGGTGTAGCTTTGTGAGATCCGCCGGCAGTTTTATGCCGAGGTAGGAGAGGTAGGTCGGTGTCATGCGTATGTGATAGTCTGACGTGATTTGGGTGGCCTCATTCTGTGTGAGTAATAGTGGAAGCGCGCTGGATTTCTCCATGTTGACTTTGTAGCCTGATATTGTACTATAGTTCCGCAAGAGGGGCATTAGTGCGCACATGGAGTGGATGGGGTTGGTTAATGTGATGAGGACGTCATCCGCATATGCGGACACTAGGAACTCTTGATCTGTTATCTTTACCCCCGTAATTTCGGGGTGTTCTCTGATTGCCTGTAGAAGGGGTTCAAGTGTTAGTACAAAAAGCAACGGGGATAGGGGGCATCCCTGTCTAGTACCATTATATATGTTGAATCGTGGGCTGTTCGCCCCGGTCAACTGTATTTGGGCTGTCACGTCCGTGTATAGTGCCCGTACTGCTGTGATGAAGGTGGGGGGTATGTTTAAGTGTTCCAGCAGCGTGAACATGTACGGCCAGTTCACCCTGTCAAATGCTTTTTCAGCGTCTAGGGATAGGGCTATCGCTGATGTGTTGGTTGTAGTGAGTGTCCATATTACATCTA